TAAACACACTACTCTACCAAATACTACCACAGTGAGTACTACAGTACTAAACACACTACTCTACCAAATACTACCACAGTGAGTACTACAGTACTCTCTGACTGTCTCTCTGCTCTCAGCTCGGTGGCAGAACAGTTGAAGCGAGGTGAGACAGTTCAGGCCGAGGCCTTTGAATCCGTCACCATCTACTTCAGTGACATCGTGGGCTTCACCTCCATTTCTGCCGAGAGCACGCCGATGGAGGTGAGAGGAAGTTTAAATCATTTAAATGCTATAGTATACTATAAAAACTACTTAACTAAGACTTGAAAAGTAAAAGTATAGTCAAATATATCAAAGTAATGTTGATATAATAATAGTAATGATATAAAATGGGATTGAAAATATTAAACGTTAGAACACAGACTCTGAGCTGATGAAGATTTTGTTAAAATCATTTTAAGCTGTTGTTGTTGTTTGTTGTCAGGAGTTTGTTCAGTTTACTGAGCAACAGCGCCCCCTGCAGCCACACATGGTGATTCGTTGTGTCGGTCTGTGTCCGAGCGATGAAGTGATTTTCACTTGTAGAAAACACAAAGTGTTATAAAGCATTTATGAATTTCCTCTGTGGAGGATATCGTTTCTAAAAGCTCTGTGATTAATTCCAAATGTGACAACACTGTGTGTTATCGTCTCTTTATAGCAGATGTGTGTAGTAAAGTAGTGTCATAGATACTTCATTGCAAATGAAACTACTTTTCTTATATAAATGAAGTACAGTTGTAGATGAAGGTGAACATGATCTTCACTGTAGGAAGATTCATCTCTCGTGCTTAATATTTACTGAGTAGAAATGATAGAATTGAGAAAGTACAATAGAAAAGTAGTATTTCATATAAATCTGCAGTCGTCTGTTTACTGTAAGAGATATTTGCTGCGTTTGTGTGTCTGCAGGTTGTGACTCTGCTCAACGACCTCTACACATGTTTTGATGCCATCATCGACAACTTTGATGTTTACAAGGTGAAAGAAATCAACACAGATCTTTTGAGTTGGATTTTATTCTGAGTTTTATTGATTGATTTATTGATTTTAAGGGATCGATCGCTGCTGATAAATATCAAGTGGAAATGTTAGATCTCCAAAATAAAAGCCTTCCAGGAACAAACCAGTTTCTCATTAAAAGGAAATTCTGATCATCACTGAAGCCGCTGCAACAAAAGCACAACAGCAACATTCAGTGGACAAAAGAAAATGATAAAAGGGAAATAGAATAAATACTATTATTTCAAAACATGTGTAAAATGTCAGATGATATATCATGTGTGGTTCTGTGGCGCCCTCAGGTGGAGACCATCGGTGATGCCTACATGGTGGTGTCCGGCCTTCCAGTCAGGAATGGGAAGCTGCACGGCAGAGAGATCTCCCGCATGGCCCTCGCCCTGCTGGACGCCGTCCGCACCTTCAAGATCCGCCACCGAGCAGAACAGCTGAAACTGAGGATCGGAATCCACAGCGGTGAGAGAGGAGGGGGGGTGAATATGAGACGTCCTGGTTTGATTTTGGTCCTTGATGTTCATTTGTATTTGGAACTCGATGTTTGGATGAGGATGAAGAATTCAACAGGTTTTCTGATCCGAGTCTGAAGCTTCATGTTTGTTCACGTTTCATCTGATCTTTCAGTTTCACTCTGTGATTCAGGGACTGAAGAGTTTTGTCTGACAAACGTACGTCTTGTCCTCATCACCTACGTGGGCGCCGTCTATCTATACTTGACTCTGATTGGTTTGGAGACGGCGTCTGACGTGGGCGTGTTGTCAGTTGGGGGGGTGGTAGTCTTTCTGTTTGAATGGAGGAAATGAAGAGCTTCATTATGTTGCTATGGTAACATGACGGCATCACTATCAGCATCAGCACCTTCAGGCGCAGTACAACAGTACTACAGTACTCCACAGTACTACAGTACTCCACAGAGTTGCTCTTATAAATAAATATGATCAAACTTTAAACCCGCCTCTCAACTAAATGTGTCAATAAAGTTCTGTTGTCAGAAAAAAAGCTGTAAAGAAAGAAAGCTCTATCTTATCTGCATCATGTTGTAAACGTGTGTTTGTGTGTGTGCGTGTGTCTGTGTGTGTGTGTGTGTGTGTGTGTGTGCGCAGGCCCAGTGTGTGCAGGGGTGGTGGGTTTGAAGATGCCACGTTACTGTCTGTTCGGTGACACCGTCAACACGTCGTCACGTATGGAGTCCAGCGGCGAAGGTCAGTACGCTGTTAAAAAACACTGCTCTATTAATGTGCCTGATTTGATATGAGATCACTGCATCAAAACAAATGCTCACCAGAAAAATCAAAGTAGTTAAACTAACAGTCCACATTAAGCAGACTTACATAAAGTATAGAATATTAGTGTTTTGTTGCTACAGTGTTAAAAACATTGAATCTCGATGTTGTTTTAATCACAAACTAAATAAAGACGACACGTTGACTCTCCAGAAGTTATGTGATATTTTTTGTGTCCTACTTGTAGAATATATATATTTTTGTACATTTTGAAGATATTTTTCTGTCCAAATGATATTTTTGTGCTTGTAGTAAACATTTTTGAAGAGGAAATATATATATTTTTTTTTCGTACCTGTACTACACATTTCTTTTGTACTCGTGGGATTTATTTTTTGTTAGTTTAAGTTTTGGCATTTAGCTCCATGTAGGTGTAGAATCATCCTAAAAAACAATAAATATTTTAACAATACTTTTATATAGCCGGTTTATACAAAGGAGTATTTAACACCACCTACAATTCTAACCTCATGAAAAAAGCAAACCACCCCTGAATCTCTGTCACTTGTAAAAATCACATTCTACGTCAGAGAGATAAGAACGACCTGAAATGACAGAAACCATCTTTGACATTTATATCACGTCTACTTTGATTGTTTAGTTTGGTTCATGTGCCATCTGCTAACATGGAGGAGGAGGGTGTATTAGCTATACTGTAGCCAGACACCAGGGGGTGATTTAGATGTTTTGCCTTCACTTCAGGGAGCCGTCCTGTCTTCCATCTGTATTTTCAGTGGTTGAGACTGAGCTAATTTAACCTGATATGATAGAATTTATAATTCTCGTTAACATATTTGCTAAAGTGATCAGATATTGATCTACAGAACATCTACATCACCACCTGTGTGAAATGCTGAGTAGAAGAAAAGTTACAAACCCACTTCAAGCTCATATAGCTTCTGATTGGACAAACACATAACTCTGTCACTCTTTTTTTTTTTTAAATGTCCACCAACTCGTCAAAAAGAAGTTAATTGGTTTGGGATTGATCTCATCCTGTGTTTGTGCAGCGCTGAAGATCCACATGTCTGCAGCGACTCGTGAAGTCCTCCTGGAATTCAACTCCTTCCAGCTGGAGCTGCGAGGAGAGATTGACGTCAAGGGCAAAGGAAAGATGACCACCTATTGGCTTCTGGGAGAGAGTGACAGCCAATGATGAAACACCACGGAGAAGAGGAGGACAGAGGAGGACAGAGGACAACAGAGGAGGACAGAGGAGGACAGAGGATGACAGAGGACGACAGAGGAGGACAGAGGACAACAGAGGAGAAGACGTCGTCTTTGACCTGCAGCTGATGTCAGCCGACTCATCACCTCTGAGTGCTTTTTTCTTTGTGGACAGACGGACCTGGATTGTTTCAGATTCCTCAACCTAGAGGACAGTAGCGGTACGTTCGTATGAAACTGTGACGGACAGATGTGTAAGAAACCAAACTCCAGATGTGGACAGGAGGTAAAAGACAAGTAAATGACGGAGGCAGACGGTTCTGACTGGAACACGATGTAACTGACGGAGCACAGACGGATTCTTATCTTTTATATGTTACAACTTTTACAGTTTGAGTTCAACAGAGAAAAATGAATTTCCTGCCTCAGAGGATCCGGACCGTCATGTGTCCGGAGCAGTAGTCGAGCATCAAGCGAAAACAAAACCCGCTTCTCGTTCTGTCCCGTCCACGGAGACGAGTCCGAGAGGGTTCATAAGGCTACATCTGCATAAAAACCATCACCGTTGCTATGGTGATGCCTGCTGTCCACACTAAGGGAGACATTTGTAAACACTGCTGGTTTTGTTTTAGTTTAGTTAACTGAGTAAAGTTGTAATATTACAAAAAAGAAGACGTACAATTACGAGAGTGAAGTCGTAGTATTACATCACATAACATTAAAAACTTTTTATCCAGATTCTCCATATTCACATTTTTATTGGGGGGGTGAGGGGGTAAGCAACGGTACATGTTTAACCAAGGAGCATTAAAACTTTCTCATGGTTTCAGCTCTGTTGCTGAGCAACAGCCATAATTGTGGGTGAAGCTGGTGACTCAAGTCACGAACTCCTCCGTAGACCAGACCGTCTCATTCTGTTCGGCCTTCCCTCACATCCTCAGAAGTAAGCGGCCCCTGAACTGGGACACAGAAGATCCTCCCCAATCTTACACACTGGTCTTGGAAATAAAGTTTGGTTTATGAATTAAAAATCGAATAAACAGGAGACCTGGCCAAGACAGGCAGCAGCACAGATAAACAAACACACAACCAAAGAACCAAAAACAGCCTCAAGCACCAAAGATTAAGATTCCCTAACAGCCTCAGACCTTATTATTTAAACAGTCTTACCGTTAGTATAGTGGTTTGTGTCGGTGTTTGAGGCAGTGGACATTTGTTGAATTTAGTATTATTGATGTGAATTGGTATATGACAAATGTTTCTGCTTTATATGGAACATACGTGCTTGTTTTAAAAACAGTCAGAGAGACGTCCAGTGTCTGCGACATGTTTCTCAGAGTTTAACTTATCGTTCAAAAATCATCAGCAGGAGGAAACTGTGAGGCTCTTTGAGGAAAATGAAGAAAGCACAACTTCTGCCAAAATCTTATTTTGAGCTAAAAAACTATTAGATTCTGTTTGTAATGTTGTGTTGTTGTAAAAGGAGGTAACATAAAACCAGATGGTTAGAAAGAGTTTTATAAAACTTGGTTTCAGGATTGTACTCACCACACAGGTAGTGAACGAACTACTACTTCAAACCAAAGAAACAAATATAACAAAAAGAGGAAATAAAAAAGCTGCACAAACAACCTAATGCAAATCAAATCTACAATAAATCCTCACTAAACAAGACAAACAAAAATAGCTCCTGCTCCTGCCTCTGTGATTGTCCGCACCAGTTCTTAATGTGTTTCACCTGTGTCCCATTATCTGTGCCTCTCCGTTATATACACTACTATTTCTACTATTTAAATAAACAGCAACACTCACATAATATCCAGCTATAGAGCAGATTTTACTCCTTCTCCAGCTGCCTACAGTTGACCTACTGATAAATCTGTCATGTCTCCAGTGTTTTTAGTCCTCTTTCATAGAGAGAGTTTTCATTTCTATTCTGGACGATGTTTTCTCATCTTTGGAATTGTGTTTTAAGTTTTTCTCCCTGTGTCCCTCTCTGTTCCTTTCTGTGTCTCACCCTGTGTGCCTCTGTTTCCTGTTTTATTTTGTAGTCTCTGCTCCTTGTGTGTTTTCCCCCTGCACTTCCTGCCCTCGCCCGGTTCACCTGTTTGTCCTGTGCCACCTGTCTCTAGTTTGTCATTAGTTCAGTGTGTATTTAAGTCTTTGTGCTTGCCTTGGTCTTCATCAGTTTGTTGTGGTACCATGTGTTGTTCCACCACTCGTTTCCAGTATCTTCTCTAGTGTTTCCTTGTGTCTCCTCTGTTTTTGCTTAAGAGCATTTTGGAGTTCCCTGTTGTTTTTGGATTTGGTCATTATGCCCAGCCTTAATCGTTAAAGGACTCTGTTTGTTAAAACCTTGACTTCTCTTCTCCGCCATCTTAACGAATCCCATTTTGTTCAGTGGACCTCCCCACGCATCAGACATCAAAGGCAATGTTTATCGAGGAAAGACATTTTATACCTTTAACGTTTTTGGCTTTTATTATTTTATTTCCGTGGATATGAATAGGATGTCAGCTTGGACGTTTGTTGAAAACCATATGAAGACAGAACAGAAACTGGTGCTGGATCGTTCCTACACAAGTGTTGTATTAATAAGTGGCTTATAGTGATCAAGTAGTAGTTTTTACCAGCTCTAACAGTAATTAACTGCTCTTCTCTGTGTCTTTATCGTTTGCGCTACACACTGCCAACTGCATCAAGCCAGAACCGAGCTCGCCCCACCATCTCCTCTGGCTCTCTGTCGGGTTAGAGTTAAAAAGGTTTACAATGATGACTGAAGACTCTGGCCCCATCTTTAATGCGTACGGGGCTCTGATGTTTTTTAGCATCGTTTGGATTTCTATTGTCTTTCTGGGTTTGTGTCTTCAAGCCGCAAACGTGCTCGCCTCACCACCCCCTCCATCACCTGGATCACGTCCTCCTCCCGAAAGGGTTGGGGTTGATTGGTTTTCAAGGATGATTGGAGCTGCTTTCTTATTCCCTGAAATACTGATGGATACTCTGGTGATGCTTTCTTGCTTTTGTTTTATTTTGGTTGTGTCTATCAGTTTTATGGTGATGTTGAACTTGTGCAGCTGTTGCTGAGGGGTAGAGTGGTTCCTCCAACCAGAAGGTCGACAGTTCAATCCCAGTCTTCCCCATCTGTATTCCAAAGTGTACTTGGGTGAGATGCTAAACCGCAAATGTCTGAGTAAGAGCCTCTGGACTATCTGCAGACTTTCTCCGCCTGGCTGCCTCATCTGGTTCTCAAGGTTTCTTACTGTTAATGAGGAGTTTCTTCTCTTTTGAGTCGTCAGAGCTGCTCATTGTGGGAACTGTTGGTTTCTCTCTAATTTTTAAGGCATCGACCTTAAAATGTGAAGTGCCTCGAGATGATGTATGTTATTGTTTGATGATATGCATTGTTCGGTTTATTGGCGGATAAAACAGATATAAACAAGAAGTTCCGTCTCAAATTCATTCCAGAATTAAGGGAAATAAATTCCTTTTGTTGTAAAATGTGTGGTCAAATGTAAAACTGGATGTGGGAGCTGAAGATCATTAGTTATTATGGGTTTTCTCTAATGTTGGGATCCACAATTAGTGAAAAATAGTTGTGTAGCAAAAGCCTGTGAAGACAAAGGAGAGTTTCCAGAACTCAGTCTTCCTGGATGCTTCATCTTCACACCTAGATGTTAAACCTGCCCCTGGACACAACTGTCAATCACTATTGGTCACTGTGTGCCCCATGACCCATGAGGTCACCAGGCCAGTAAAAGCCCAGTTCCTCCTCTTTTCTCTCTCTCTTTCTGATCACTTCTTTTCATCAATAGATTGATGGACATCTCAAAAACCGCAGACAAACTCTTGTCAAGGATGTAGAACAGATTTTGGTAACTGCTGTGTAAAGAGCGGAGTGGCATATATGATACGGCATATAAATACTACAGTCCTTCAGGTTTTATATAGTTGTATAAACAAAGTTATTGAGTGGCAACTTATTTATCCAACGAAATATCAAGTGTTAAACTCAAATAAATGTGTTTAAATGTATGACCCAGTTTTCCTGTCTTCTTCCAGAGTCCGACAATAACAAATTCTTCAGAACAACCCTTTTTATTTTTATACTGCAGTCTGACGTTGTGTCAAACAGTGACATGAGTCTTTGTTTAAATCACACACTCATGCTGGGATCAAGCTTTGTCTTAGGCCACATCCACATGTTTTAGTTTGAAAACTCATCAACTGCTACAGATACGTCTGGTGTCCACACTACTCCCGAGTTTTAGAACTTCTGAAAACAGAAGTTTGAAAACGCTGCTGGACCCGTTTTAGCTTGAAAACTCTGTGTTTTAGTCTGGAGGAACGGAAACTGAGATGTTTGGAAACAATAACACTCACAAGCTCTTGCTGATTGGGTCTTTTTGGTCAGGCCTTCTCTGATTCGTCAGGCTCCTGTCACATGACCTTCTACAATAAAATCTCCCACTGGAGAACACAACATGGAGAATCAAATGACAAGAGTTACTGACCCTGTTGTCTGTTCAGTTCACTTCTGTATTGTTTCTGTATTTTACAATGATACAGCTGTTTCCATGTGTTCAGTATGTGGATGTGTGCATCTTATTTCTTTTCTCAATTACAGCAAGGAACACTGGTAGGAGTTATCTTCAACTTTCTGAGATGGGCAGCAGAGGGAGGAGGAGGAGCAGAGGGACGAGGAGGAG